GCATCAAACAGAGGTTTTTTATGCTATTGCTCAAGCCATCCAGTCTTCTTATTCCCACGATTTTTCACCCTTATTGTCCTGTTCCAACTTCGCTTTTGCCCCCCTCCAGTTTTCAACCCTCTAACTCTTGACCATCCTCACCTTGCTTTGATAGGCGTTTAGCTTCTGGTTTCAACTCATATGCTAGTGTGAAGCGTCAATCCCGCCCTGTCGATAAGCCCATGTCCAACCGGGCGGTCAAGCTCAATTCATCAGCTTCCATTTGGAGCCCTTGATCCTCCTTCAGATTGGCCTACCTCAATGTTCGCAGATCGGTCAACAAGCAGCAATTGCCCGAACGTTAGACCTCCTCTCAATTAATATCTGCTGCTTATCGGAAACCCGCCTGCAAGACTCCAGTTGTGTTCGCTTCGGTACCCCTTTTAGGTGACACTAACAGTGATTTGTCGTTGCGCCTATCCGAAGACGATGCAGCTTCGAGTACCGGCCAAGCCGGTGTTGGTATTGCTCTGAGTCCCCGGACTGAAGCGGCTCTGGTTGATTGGATCCCAATTAGTAGCCGGATGTGTGTGGTCCGATCGGCTGGCTCGTTCAAAGCTTCGAAATCGCGCGGGACTAATAGGTTTCTATTCATCATCGCTGCCTATGCGTCCACAAACTCTAGCGATTACTCGATAAAAATCGACTTCCACCGCCAACTGACCCAGCTACTTCGCCACAGAAGATGCTCGGACACTGTTGTGCTGGCGGGGCATCTGAACGCACAGGTTGGAAAATTATCCACTGGTGAACTGCATCTGGGCGGCCAACATGGTGTAGGCTCCCGTAATGATAACGGTGAGCGGTTACTTCAGTTGTGTGAAAGTGCTCGTTTATTTCTTGCGAGCACTAATTTCCGACACAACACCCGCCGGAGGGTGACTTGGCCCCCACCAGCCTCGAACTAGCTATAGACGCAAATCGATTACATTGCAGTCAGTTACCGCTGGAGAGGCTGCATCCAGAACTGTCGCTCGATTTGAAGCACATGTGTGGACACAGATCATGCACTTGTATGTGCTGACCTGCAGATGCGTTTTGGAGGACGCTCACGACGACGCTGTGAGCGGATTGATACCAGCCAACTGACAAAGTCAGCTGTTCTGAATGCCTACCAAAGTACGCTGTCATGCGAGTTGACTAAGCGCTCACAGGCGACAACTGAAGCTCACTGGTCTCATATTCACCAGACCTTATTAGCAGCAGGCAAATCCTCATGTGGTATGTCTAATCGTCAACATGGACATTAGGTCTCTTCGCAGTTTCTGGGACTTATCGATGCTCGCCGGCATATCCCGGCTGGAAGCGAACACAATGAAACTCACAAAAAGCTCCAGGCAAAACTCCGTGCTAGCCTGAAGAGGGACCGCGAATCCTGGTGGTCTCATCGTGCATCAGAGATGGAAACGGCCGCTGCCCTTGGTAACCATCGTAAGTTATTCCGGCTGATACGGGAAACGGGCAACAGAAGACCTGGTGTTAGTGAAACTATACGTGACGAGAGTGGACAGCCTATTCACAACTTGTCAAAATGTTTGGAGCGTTGGGCTGAGCACTTTGAAAGGCAATTTAATCGGCCGGAGTTGTTAGATTTCTCGCCGGCCACTGATCGCCCCGCTCCGTGGGCTGTTCCTTTGGATCCACCCTCTCGCTCAGAAGTCAAACGTGAGATCCCACTGTTGAAGTTAAATAAAGCCGCGGGACCAGGTGAGCTACCTCCATCCCTCTTCAAATTCGTGGGACCTGCTCTTGTGGATGATTTACACGAGTTATTAGTGAAACTGTGGGAGCAGGAAACTGTCCCAACCGAATGGAGTCGCTCCGATATAGTCGCAATTTTCAAGGGAGGCGCACGATCGGAATACGGCAGCCATAGAGGAATCAGCCTGATCTCCATCACCTCCAAATTGTTTGCCTCTGTCATCATTCACAGGCTGACTGGCACTTGTGAAAGCCCTATTCGTGAAGAGAAAGCCGAGTTTCGTCGTGATCGTGGCTGCATTGACCACATCTTCACCTCGCGTCAGCTGTTGGAACACCGTCACACATATTGGCTGCCCACCGTTGTCGTGTTCTTCGATATCAAAGGTTCATTCGATTCAGTGGATAGACGTGCACTTTCGGACTGCCTACTCAGGAAAGGTGTACCTGAGAAATATGTAAACATTATCCGGGCATTATACGCTAGTAGCTCAAGCAGAGTGAGGGCTTACGGCAAACTGTCGCCTCCCATCAACATCTCCAGTGGTGTGAGACAAGGTTGCCCGCTATTTACGAAGTCATATACATAGCTTAGAAGGTGTGAAGCTGCCGACGATATTGCCCTCATCTGTGTCAGCTCACAAACGTGTCAAGCTTCACCGTGCGAATTAGCACTGGCTGTCAGCCGTTTTAGGCTTTGATTTGCACCCTCGAGCCGCAAAGTTTTCCTCCAAGATTGGCAGGGACCGCCTCTTGCGCTGACCCTTGCTGGGGATCAGCTGCAAGTCGTTCAACAATTCAACTACCTGGAAAATCGTGCCAGCACCCTTAGGATCAAAGATGAGATTACGAATCGTGTAGCAAAAGCTCGAGGCGCTTTTGCTAACCTTCGCTACTTATGGCGCTGGCGCGACATCACTCTCGCCCTGAATAATAGAGTGTACAATACAGCCGTCCGCTCAACTCTCCTTTGCGGCTGTGAAATCTGGCCCATTAGATCAGCCGACCTAAGGACCCTAGTTACATTCCACCCCCGTTGCCTTCGCAGTTTGGCTCACATCTGGGGGGAACACCGCGTGAGCAACGAACGTGTTCGACGCCTTGTTTATGGCGCAGGAAGAGGAAATGAACCGCTCAGCACCGTTATTTCACACATCAGGCTCCGATGGCTGGGCCACGTGTTACGCATGCCAGCCCACCGACTCCAGCGACGTGCGTTGTTTGCGCGCCGGTGGCGTGGATGGTAGAAGAGGGGGGGGGGTAGCCAAGCGATGACTTGGTTGAGAGGAATGAAGGCCCTCACTTCGGAGCTGGCCTTGGTTGGAGCTTCGGCTCTATGGTTTGAGACCGAAGGACAATGAATACGTTTTGCTGGGTACACTTGCTGATATGGCTAGGAGCCGACGTCAATGACGTTCGTATTGTGAATTCTTTTGTCCCTGCCTATCTCTCTTAGCCTCCACCTCCAGACGAGATCTACTTTTTCCGCATAATACAAATGGTGCATAATAATTTTTTTGGCTGCATAGTAGCCGGTTGATAGCTTTCCGAAACGATACTCATCCGTTACTGGTAGCTCAGCTGTCGTGCACCTGTAGTGTGTTTTTTCTCTTCTTTATTGTGGAACAATAGCTGAGGTCTTCACCACCTGTAACTTGGGTGTATAATGACAATAATGATGGTCCACCGACACTTTCCACCATCGAAGTGCAAAGCTCTTTTTCAAAGCTGGTATATGCATGTACCTGCACTCACTACTGGTTGCTGTGGGGAGTTTCGTCTACCAGGGAAACCACTGCTAGTAGGATTGCTTGTGACGAGATGCGTATTTCAAGTGCTTGTCTCGCGCTCTCCAGGCTGAGGCACTTGCAGCGCCGCTGTGACATCCGTCTCTCCATCCAAAGACGAGTGTATTGCGCGACTGTTCACGCTGTACTGTTATGCGTCTGCGAGTCTTTACCTGTTGTTACCCATGACCTGCGCCGACTATCTATCTTCGAACACAATTGCTTGAGGACATTGCCCGTGTGTTATGGTTGAACCACATAACCATTGTGAGGTTATATAGTGTGTTTTGGGTGTACGCAGCTACTCGCTTGAGGTGGTCGTCTCACTGCGTCAACTATGGTAGCTTAGACACGTATTGCGCATGTTTGTTCGATGTTTTCTGCGTTGTACGTTGTTCGCGGTTGCTGGAGAAGGCGGCGTGGTGGTCAGCCTACAACTTAGGGAAGGGATATGAAAAGTAGACAAAACAGTTAACCTCTGTCACTGCTTCTGGACTCCCTGGATGGAGTCCCAGAGATCTTAGGTGTATCTGGTCGGAGACCCTGGAAATCATGGCTCAAAACCCGATTGCGGTGCTTTTCTTTCCCTTCCCTAACAATTAGTAACACAAAAACTAAACAAAACTGAGTGGAAACCTGGATAAAAAATTTGCCTGTTTTGTTTTCTTCCTGCTCCGATCATGTTAGCATATTTCACCATGATTCCGATGGCGTAATATTTGTATGCGAACTGTTATATATATATATATATATATATATATATATATATATATATATATATATATATATATATATATACTCTGAAGACACAATGTTGCCGCCGACTGACCTTTGCAAATGAGCGCGGCTCGGCTTGGTGGAAGTCAGTTGTGTTTGCGCTGGTTGCCTTGGTGAATGAGAGCCTCAAACCCGGTTGCACCAGTTGTTGTTGGCTTTATCTGCTGTGTTGCGGCAAAAAGTGAATTTAACACTGTTTCATTTGATTCCTTTTCTACGACTGTTGAGCCTTACATCCGTACGTATTGTCATTATGTGCCATCTCCATATTATGCGTTCATTTATTCATGTTTCTTCACTTTTTATGTTTTGGAATATGTTTGGAAGTTATCATTCCAGAAGGCTCGTTGAAGGACCGGTCTAGTGAATACATTAACTGGTCTATCAACATACCTTCTGAAATGACGCTTCTTCATTTCGTTTATTCTCCGGCGATTACCGCCGTTAAATCAACGCTGATTAAGTCGACCATCTGCGGCACCCATGTTTTTTGTTTGACTAAACCACTTTTCAGCTACTCCTCTTTTAGTGCCATTCACCATTCTTTACCGTCTTTGTTTGATTTCTCCGTTTATTATTTTTGGCTTATGGACAATCAATTGCTTTCCATGCAATAGCTATCCTTCAGTTGCTACTTTATAACTGAAAGCCCAGCATGCTGTGGTCCTACTCACCCTGCGTACTCGATCGTATGTTATGCGTCTCGTTATATCTTTTTCTGGGGCTTCTCTATTTGAGCATCTTAATGCTTCTTTCTCTCAGGACCCGGACGCCGAAGCGTTTCTTGCTCGCTTCTACAAATTCACTCCTGGCTTACCGAGTAGTACTTCTGTGGCATCACAGAATGGGAAGAGGCCACTTGCCAGTCCACACCTCGGTCAGTGTGAATCTCCATTGTTACTATTCTCACATCAACGATTATGAATGTAGTTGTGCTTCTTGCTTCTTTTTCGCAACCATTTCCGCCCAGTACATTTTTTAGTTATTCTCCACTGTATCACCACCGACCCACAGCTTACATGTGTCTTCATACAGCTTACTCTAACACGCCACTAGTAGGGTTGGACGTTACTCATGCCTTTTTATTTGAAAAGCTCGTTGAGATGTCTCCGACGTTGCAGTGAGAATCAGATGAATCTGTGAGGTTGCCTTCCCCTCAGTCACTTATCTGCCGCCTCAAAGCCCCAGTTATAAAGGCAGCTGATTATTGATGTGGGGTCCTAGAGCAGTGTATCGACTGCATTACGTCCAAAGCCATTGTGTAGATCTAGACGTAGTACTGCGCATTTGGGACATCAGGCTGTCTTTGATCATAGACACTCACAACTGTCCGGGTTACCAAGTGCATAATGCTAATCCACCTATCTGGACCACCCTTTGCATCTAGTTCGCTTAAGTTATGCTCTCCTTGTCCCCTTTCACTGGTCACTGTGGTGCGTTCTCGAACAACGCACCTCGTTGAACGATGCCACAAGGTGGCTAGCTGATAAACTGCAGGAGGTACGAAAAGATTGGTTGATGCTTCATCAAGTTGATGGATGCAACCTTCTTTACATGACTTTCGGGATTGGTCACATTAGCGATTTGAGACATTATCCGTGTTGTTTCGGTCACAGTCACTGGTGTTGTTATGTTTGATTTTACCTTTTTCTCCTATCGTTTGCGTTGTATCTGACCTTATCAACTCAGTTGCGTTTCATTCCGTCTGTTGTTTTCCTCTAATTGTTGTTCTGTTATTCACAGCAACTTTATTCTGCTCTCATGACTTTTAAGGCACCATCGTTACTTTCGAACTTACTATATTCTCATCTTACTCGCAGTTTTTTCTCCATCTATTTTCAAGACAATGAGCCTCCTGCCAAACGTGTTCATACAGAGAAACCCGTGTCTGCACCACGCGCTATCAATTCTTCTAGTTCCAAAAAGTCCTATCCCAAACCGGAAAAAGCCTCGTAAGCTTTTACTTTACATCACTTCTCGCTGCGAATAAATCTAGATGACCAGCCTCCTGATTAAAACATCCGTTCATAATATGTTTTCACCTTTTGAATATAAGCTGGTCTTTTATTGTTAACATTTACTCGTTTCTAGTTTTGTGCTTTCGCTGACCCTTGTGTTATTCTAATATCTTACTGTAGGTTTCCGGGGGGTTGTATATGGGCTTGCGATGTTCTTTGCAGCAGTGAGATCAGGCCCCTTTGCACCTAACTCCTCAGATATCTTCAGATATTTGACCACCGTCTTCTACGTGATATCACTGGTGTCGAATGCCACCTACGTGCGCGCAACGCTGGGTTGCACTGGCGTGTACCAGGTAAATAACCATAATAATAATGTGTCAGGTACATGCCGTAACGGCGCTCCGCTGCCGCGCGAACAGATCAGTTCGTGTGCATTTGTTCAGATATCGTCTGGAAATCAGGCAGGTGATCATTAGTCGGGTTGTGTTATTCCGCCTCGCCTCCCAGGTTGGAGTGCATACTACTTTTCCTGTCTTCGGCTTGAGACCTTACGGGGCATGACTCTTGAGTGAGCACTGTGAGGTATTGGCCATCGTTCCCAAGTCTGACTACTACTTTAAAGTGTGTATGATGCTGATTTAGCTACATATTAAAACTAATTATCGTCTTCATTCTTCGTTGTTTCCAAAGTATATGTATTTTGTCCTGAGCGCTTACTGTGGACATGTAGGTTTTACCTCATTCCTCATCCCCTCATTCCACTAGTATTGCGACCACAATGGTTGCGTTGTAGCGAAGCACCACTGATGTGCGATTGCTGACGGTGATGGTTCTGAGGTTTTTTCACTGCTTTTATTTGTCCCTCCAGACCATCTGTTTCACATCGGAAACCAGTACCACAGCAAGTCCCTACACCTGCAACAACTGCTGAGAACACTAACGAAACGCCTACGCCCTCCCAGCGAGTCAGTTCTCTACGTTTAAGAATACGGAAGGGCAAAGATGGATTGAACGTTTCATCAGCTCCAACTCCACCTCCGTCAGATCTCTCACCTGTGCTTGGCTCTGTAAGCTCGTTTTCTGCTTCTTGGTTACTTCTTGCTTCCTTTTCGTATGGGGTTTTAGGTCGCCAGATTAGGTCCATTGATTCCGTTTGTCACCTCATGAAAGTGCATCCTGTCCTGGCATTTTACTGTGGCATTTCCCATGCCGCGAATTATTATTCACCACTCTTCCAATGTACAATTGACAGTCCCACAATACATAGTTAACAACAACAAAAAGGAGGAAAGACGGCTAGTCAGTGAAAGGGTTTGGAAAATTTGGAAGGTTAATGTGTTTTGTGGGTAGAGATCTTCCCGGTTGCCCAAGCCGAGGAAGAGGGTTGACTTATGGGACCCCACCCCGAGCTTTTGGTCTTATGACCTAACCCACAAGGCAGCGAGGCGATTCACGAATACCGTTGACATCCGGGTGGCTCCTTTGCCTTCTTTATGTTCAGTAGCAGTCCACAGAGAAGCCGGTGGCCAGCAAGGTTGTTCATCCGCTCTCCGTTATATACTCACCTCTGGTTACAGAAGTCAGTGGTCACTGACTCTATAGCCGGACACATTGGCTTTGACACAGCGCAGTACGAGTTCTTGTGGTATTTGATGGAGAACCAGGTGACCAGGCCAGAACTCCCACGCTCTGAGACGCTGCAGTTGATTGTCCGCGACTACTGATTCATCTCACCTGCAAAGCAGACGATATTTATTCATAGTTACCTCCTCTAGGAAGACATTCCCCGATCCGCAACCTGGGGACTCGCTCGATAGCGTACAGCTCTTCCGCGAATGCTTGTTTCGTATCATTACAATAGCTTTGTATATCATCTTAGTGTTTGAACACTATTTTCTTCCGTCCGATCCTCTTAAACTTAGTGATGAGTGCACGGACTCGCATTAATTGGCTATCGTTGCGACTGCTTTAGTCCGTTTTCCAGTTTACTTTAGATCTCATCATCATCACCAGTGCACCACTGCCTTCCAGTCTTTGCATGCTGGGTCATCTGGGACTGGCGCTAAGTGTATCACTTTTGGTGACGCTAATTCATGTCTGCTCTCTGTTGTTCCAGCTGATTTCTAATAAATGGCATTTTTTATGTATAAGCGAATGTAGGTAGCTCATGTCACCTGATATGCTTCTCAAAGCGTTCTTCTCTGAAGTCAGTTTTGCTTCGAATGTGATTAGAATCATCAAGTTTGCCACTCGGTTTATTTTTCCAAATACTGCTTCGTCAATGCATCCATTTTGCCTACTACGAGGTTTTGATTTAAGCTGTCTTACTCTCACTGTTCTCACTTTATTCCTTTTAGTCAACCATAGTTCTTGTACCGAATTGCGGTGAATCCAGTTGCAGCGTTTAACTTCATCATGATACCAATACTTAACAGACCAGTAATAGCACCTACAGGACACAATAAAAACCAACCGATCGCAAGTGGAAATATTGCGTCCGTTGCTGCATTTACCAGTCACTAGTTAGGAACACGCGATAGAATTAGGCAACTCTGGCGCTTTCTTATTTGCTTATTTTATACTGATACGCTCATTTCCAAATCAGCTAATCGTGAGGCGCATGTAGGTTTTCGTCTGGCCGTTCATTTGTCCTTTGCAACATCACCGTGGCTCATGAAGTTTGTGATACAACTCTATTTTTATAGTTTATGTTGCTGAAACTTAGCGTTACGTCCACTACTTGTGCACCTCGCTAATGTCGTCAACGATCTCAATGCTTTGAACGACTTCTCGATGTACCCTAGATTTATGTATGGAAAATGTTAGCCCCTTTTGTCATAGTCTACCTTTCGCTTCACACAATACCATATCTGACATATTGACTACATTGCAATGTTCCTGCTAGATTCATACCTGTCAGTTGTACCTATAGTCCTGGTATATACTAGCTTTAAATGATCCAACTTATGAATTCGGTGGCTTTATTTCTGAGGTCTCGTAAAGTTTCCTAGTTTGTCTGCATGACAACTGTTTGTATCTTCAACTTCTGTCGATTTGCGTGAAGGCGGATTACATTCAGCCATCCGCTTGTTTTAAAAATGCTATGTCTGCGTTAAAAGCCACTCTGACAGACGTGTATAATTTGTCCAGTGGTCTGGATACTAATCTTCCCTGATTGATTAAACTGCTTTTCAGTGGTCGGCTGTCCACGTTCGTCACATGTACTCTCTCTAACACTAAGTCTTATGCTTCCCGTTTCACATATCAAGTGGAATAACTTTCTCTGGTTACTCAGAACAACGGCTATTTCTATACACAATGAGACCATCAGGCTTCGCAATCCCATCTCAGACTAGCACGCAGTTTTACCCTGAGGTCTTTGCGTGTCTCCCTGTGTCCGCTTCCAACTGAATTGTGTCGAGAGTATCCAGAAGTTCCAGCGACTGTGTAAATATTTAATGATCAAGTTGCAATTTAACTTGCGACATGATGACATGCTTGCTGCTAATACCGACTGCAGAATGTGCGACCAGTGATCTTCAACTGTATTCAGCAGGCGTTTAGTCAGCCTGAGTGACAGCGTACTCTGACACACATTCAGAACACCAGTCTTCACCAGTTAGCTGCAGTCTTTGCGCTCACAATGTCGTTTGGGTGTCCGCCGAAACACATTGACAAGCCGGTATATACAAGGGCATGATCGGAGTCCTCGCTCGGGCTCTAAATCGAGCAACATTTTTGGACACAGCCCTTTTAACGGTAGCTGTTATCGATATGATCTATTTGCGCTTATGACTAGTCGGATACTGATGAGCACCATGTCATTCGACAACTCTTGCCGTGTCGAAAGTTAACACTCACCAGAAGTAGATGATTGTCTTCACTGAACTGTAGCAACCACACACCGTTATCATTACAGTAGTCCACTCCGTGTCGGCCGTCCAGCTAAAGCTCATCAGTAAATAATTTTTCCAATTTGAGCGTTCAGAGCATTAGCCAGCACTACAGTATCCGCACTTGTTTTGTGAAGGCGAAGCTCTTTCATCTGGTGGTAGAGACCATCTTTCACGGAGCCAGCGCTGCAGTTTGTGGGCGCCAAAGCACCAATGACAAACAGGCACTTGTTTTTCCCGCGCAACTTCGAAGTTTTAAACCAGCCAGCCGGTTAGACCTCGCACAAAAGACTGTGTCTCATCCCGGGTCTCAGAGCATTACTCACTTCGGCTTGACCGGCATTCGAAGCTGCATTATTTCAGATGCCACTGCACATAGGGGAGATCGCAAGATGAGCGCGTAGCTAGAGCTTTGGCAGGTGAGTTTTCGATAAGCAGCAGATATCGTTTGAGGTCTTTTGTGTCGTGTCTGAAATAAAATGCATACGTTCAGACATGTCATTCTTGGCAGGAATCGAGGACTCCAAAAACGTCGAAGTACTTGAGGTCGTCCGCTCTGTTGAGCTTGATTTTGTCGACTGGATCCAAGCGACGCCTTCCGATTACATGTGAGCCGAAACCAGCAGACAAGCAGCTTTTGAATTCGGCGGTAGAGAACATGATAAATAAAAGTGCACCTAAACTGGATCCATAAGGATGACGAACTGCAAGTGGTGAAACAAAAAGAAAACCTTATTAGTAGCACCCTCACCCATTTTCGTCCAGTTTGATGGAGCAGACAGAACGCCGGGTTTATCCTTTGCGACAGCCAGCGCATCGAGCGAATGCGTGAGCTTTTCATTGTACTGCGTGGCCAAGATACTGTCAGGTTGCCAAGGAGTAAGCCGAAGAACGATTAATGTTCTCAACCAATGCATCTTGTTCAAATACCTTATTACATGGCAGCGGGGCTTGGTCAATGGGCTACAGAGGGTCTTTTATGGACTAAGGTGCAACCTTCACTCCAACCTGGAGGGTCAGGAGACTGATTTTGCCTGCTCTTTGTGTTCGCTTGCTGTGTTTCTTAGCTCTCCTGGCTTGTGAAGATCCTCCTTAAAATTTGCAACGGAAACTCCGAGTCATGCAACTGTGTCGCCTTTCAATGTCTTACCGAGAACGAATGAAATAACCACCATGTTTACTTCTGTAAGTTGGACTGCCAGCACACTTATGGTGCACTGGTAACCCGTTTCTCTTTGGGTTTTCGGCACTCATGCATCCGGGCTGTAGTAATTTAAGCAATTCCTTCCATCACATCATCATCATTACACATTAGCTGAAGATAAAAACCACACTTCCACCATTGTACAGCAATGTAAAAGTATACGAAAATGCATGATACTAACCATTATAGATTACAACTTGTAACGAACTGCTTAGTATTCCATTGTGCTTCAAAACTGAGGTCGAGTTTGAACTGGAAGATAAGCGGGGTGGGGATGAACAAAAGAAATCTCACAACACAAACGCCATTAGGGTCGACTCGTCGCTATATCAACCATCGTATCCAGTCAAACATATTCATCATCCTTCGGTTCCAAGCCCGGCCGTCGGGAGACACTTACCGATGCCAAGTTCGGAGTGCCGATTTTTATACCTCTTGACCGAGTCATCGCTTGGCTTCCCCTTTTCTTTCATCCACGCCCTCGGCACGCGAACAACGCACATCGCGAGAGTCTACGTGCTAACATGCGCAACACGTAGTCCAGTACTCAGAGCCTGGTGCGTGATTTAATGGTGCGGAGCGATTCACCTGCTTATCCTGCACCACATACATGACGTCTGACACGTTCATTGCTCACGCAGTGTTCCCACCAGACAAACCAAGCTGGGAAGGCAGCGATGGTCGAACGAAACTAGCTTCTTTATTTTGACCTCATAGACTTCGTATAAGTCATGTGTCATGGGTTGCCATGATCTCTGACGGTGCTGTGAAATAACTATTTTAAGTCAGCGATGTTTGCAGACCTTCATGTTCGGGTTCCCCGCAATCGCGATATCTAAACACGAAATATTTCGAGAGCATTCCACTTCGTCGTTTTTTCTCTATATATTACAAGCATCATAAATACTCTTTTATATTTCTCCATTTTTTACTTGACAGTTTGCGGAAGTTAGCACACCCTCGATCAACGACCCACTACGAATAACGATTAAGCAACTCCCCAGCACCTGCACTACGGTTGGCAACCATGCGGATTCTCGAGCTGCTCCCGTGTTCTCTGTGACGACTACTACGGTCACTCCAGCTCCTCCCACCACTCTGATGGGAGTTTGTGTGAAATACCCGCCTTCGTCTTGCAAAAAATCCACTGCAGTCGTCACACCTCTTCGAAGGGACGAAGCTCCTCCTTGTCCGAAGGATGAGCGTGTCAGTTTATCGGCCTCTAGTGACGATTACGAAGAGACCAGGTCGACGGATCTTGAACGAATTGGTACTCATCCTCTGAAACAACTTGAGTCACACGTTTTACGACGTGCTCACAGACAGCGCACTACTGGAAAAGGGAAAGAGGTAGAAATACCGAAGGCTTCCCTTAGTGATGATACTGCTTGCCAGAAAACAATTTGTACTCCCTCGGATGTAAGTTCACTTTCACACTTATTGTGGACACTTTTGACAGAGTCGTCGCTCCGATCTTTCCAGCTACATCATTTTCACTCTGTTGCCTCAACCGCCACTCGTTTGTTTAACAATAGTTTACCATCACTCTTTCTTCATTCACACTCAGGTCTATCCACTCCCTTTTTCGTACATAAGTTATAACGTGCATTATTTGTCTTGCCTCGTTCTTTTATTCCAGACAACTAAAGCAGAGGAGCCCGCTCGCAACTCCCCGAAGCGTACGTCACCCGTGTTGCCTCATGCTGGGTGAGCACTGATACCGTTTTGCATTTCGAGACTATTTTCTGCCGTCATATATTTTACCACACTGCCTGAGCTAACAAACTGTTTCTTTACGCACTCTGATCAAGCACCATCCTTCTCCATCCTTTTGGATGCACACTTTGGCAATTTATCTTAGGATAATCGGAT